ATGAATAAATTCCCATTGCAAAAAAAAAAAAAAGGAAAAAATAGAGAAAGAAAAGAAAAAAAAGAAATTACAGAAATATGGAAAATACAAAGCAAAGCTCCCCCACATCCAATCACACTCTTTCCCCAGAAGCCATCACTGTCATCAGTTCACTCCTTCCAGACTTTTCTATGCCCTTTCACACACATGAAGAAATGTAATTTTGTTTTGCTTGGTTCTTTCTTTATCAATGGGATCATTTGGGGTTTTCTTGGTTGCAGCTTGCTTTTCCCATATAGTAATTTATCTTGGAGACCTCTTCCAAATTGTAGAGGATGCTGGAGGATGGCTTTACATAGTTCGTTTCTGTGTTGATGAATATTGAGGTTGTTTCTAAACTAAATGATGATTTCATTTTAGCACATCTCCCATCACATGAAATTACCATTTAAAAATGTGAATTTAAATCAAAATAAAACATTAATTCAGATTTTTTACTATTCCATTTTTAACTATTTTTCCTGTATATAACAATAATCATAAAAATCTTATTCCTAGATTTGTTTCTATGTACCTAAGTAGCATTATAATAAAAACAGTTTAAGAGAAACAAAGTAGAGAGGCTATACTTTGTGTTTGCTGTTTTTTTTTAACTGAAGTATAGTTGGTTTACAATGTTGTGTTAATTTCTGGTGTACGGCATAGTGTTTCAGTTATATACATATATATGTATACATATTCTTTTTCAGATTCTTTTCCATTATAAGTTACTACAAGATATTGACTATAGTTCCCTGTGCTATACAGTAGAACCTTATTGTTTACCTATTTTATATATAGTAGTGTGTATCTGCAAATCCCAAACTCCCAGTATACCCCTCGATTCCCCATTTTCTCCCCTGGTAACCATAAGTTTGTTTTCTATGTCTGTGAGTCTGTTTCTGTTTTGTAAATAAGTTCAATTCGTGTCTCTCTTTTTTTTTTAAGATTCCACATATAAGTGATATCACATGGTATTTTTCTTTCTCCTTCTGGCTTACTTCACTTATAATGATCTCCAGGTCCATCCATGTTGCTGCAAATGGCCTTATTTCATTCTTTTTATGGCTGAGTAGTATTCCATTGTATAAATATACCACAACTTCTTTATCCAGTCATCTGTCAATGAACATTTAGGTTGTTTCCATGTCTTGGCTATTGTAAACAGTGCTGCTATGAATACTGGAATACTTTTCAAATTAGAGTGCCCTCCAGATACATGCTCAGGAGTGGGACTGGTGTATCATAGGGTAAGTCTATTTTAAGCTTTTTTAAGGAATCTCCATACTGTTTTCCGTAATGGCTGCACCTAACTGCAGTACTACCAACAGTGTAGGAAAGTTCCCTTTTCTCCACAGAGGGTCTGTACTTTGCATGTCTTTTTACATACAAGCTTTTGGACCTCAGACCAGTGCATCAGTTGTATATTGTTGCTATATAACAAACTGCCCCAAACTTAGTTAAAAACTTAAAACCTAACAACCACAGGCATTTATTATCTCAGTTTCTGTGCATCAGCTCAGCTGGATCCTCTGGCTCAGGGTCTCACAAGTGCACTCAAACTGTCAGCCAGGCCTGGAGTGTTTGCTGGCTGTTGACCAGCCACATCAGTTCCTTGTGGTGTGAGGCTTTTCATAGGGCTACACGTAATGTGACAGTGGGCTTCGCCCACAGAGAGGGCTCGAAGAAGGAGACAGGGAGAAAGAGCTAAACAGAAGTCTCAGTCTTTTCTAACGTAACCTCAGAAGCGGCATTCTATCACTTTGACCTTTATCTATTCATTTAAAGTGAGCACTCTGGCTCTCACCTGAAGGGAGGGAATCATACAGAGGGCAGACACCAGGAGGGGAGCTCACTGGAGCCATCTTAAAGGCTGCTTACTACAAGCGACTTGGCTTCTCCATACTTCAGTTTTGTCATCTATAAACATCTACCTTATAGGAGACATTGTGGGGATTAAAAGAATTAAAATACGTAAAGTGCTGAGAACAGTACCTATAGCATATGGTGAACACTAGAGCAATATGACCTAAGTATGGATACAAAAAAAATGCAAAGAGGGGAGGATATAGCTCAGTGGATGAGTGAATGCTTAGCATGTACAAGGTCCTGGATTCCATCCCCAGTACCTCCATTAAATAAACAAACAAACAAACCAACCAACCAAATTACCTCTCCCCAACCAAAAAAAAATTTTTTAAATTATAATAATGCAAAGGCATATACTTACTCCGTGCAATGCACAGTACTAAGTTCATGGTGGTTGTTCAAGAAAGACTTGCCTTAAATGCCCCTTCATTACTCAAAAGATGTTTGAGCACAGGGAAATTACCCCAGAAACTAAAGTACTTTCTAAAGGTAAAAGTTCCTACCATAATTACCAAGGGGCTTCACAGTCACCTCCAAATTTCCCACAAGCTTTCCCCTTATCAGAAATTTCCATGCAGCCAGTTCCAATGCCCTCCTGAGTCATCTCTAAATCTAAACAGAAAAAGCCGACCACACTTCGCTCTGAAAATGCACACCATTTGCCTGACTGCAGAAGTTGCCCAATTTGCAAAACCACACAATTTATAAGTTACAGAAAGACCAGCAAGAGTTCACCTGCCTAGCCTGAGTTATTTCTCATTGAGCTCAGCAGTTTAGGTGAGATTAGGGGTCACTATCAAGACCCACCCTGATATTTTAAGGAAAGAAGGACTCCTCAGTGTATCCCTAGTCTTCAAAGGGTAGCACAGGGGGAGATGGGTTAAGGAGCAGTGTCCTGCTTCACACTTCCCCTTTGTGCAATCCAGGACTCGGTGGGGGAAGAAAGCCAACCCATCGTCCAGCAGATGTGGTAAATGCGTCATGAATCAGGAGATAACGAAAAGCTGGACCCTCCCCGCTGCCCTCCCCAGGCCACAAAGTCACCCAGCAACAGCAGCAACTCCCAAGGGCAAATAAACACAAGAACTCAGCTCAGCACACATGCCCTCCTGAGAATGTGTCCTGGCTCACGATGCCCAGTGTGCAAAGGCCACCTTTGTCTGATTCAAAAGCCCCAAGGAAGGAGGAAGAAGGAAAGAGGACTTGAAAGGCCAGCCTGGCAGCCTGAAGAGGTCACTGATGTGGGTCAACCAGCAGGCCTGTCTGCCTTCACCCCACTTACCTTCAGCAACTGCCCAGAGGAAGATTTTTGTAAATCACTCTGATCAACTTAACCGGAAGTGCAATGATGTAAAGGAAGAAACAAGAAATGTCTCCATACCACAGGAGGCATCTGTCAGGGTAAGAGTGGATGAGTTAGTTGTATTTTTTTTTTAAATAAACCAAATTCTCTCTGCAGAGAATTGCTTTTCCTGTTCTTTGTTTCAACACCTCCAAAATTAAACTGCTTCTTAAACAACCAGGGCCTAGCTGTCTGGAACTCCCGTGAACATGGCAAGGGTGAGGACCCTACTTCTCCAGTGAGAGCTAGTAAGACCTGGGAATGGGGGGCAGCGGTGCTGAGAGGCCAGTGCTGGAGGGAAAGAAAATTAATTCTGCTAATAAATTCCACTTGCTTGGGTGTTAAATTAAAAGTGGAAAGTATTATATTTTCTCCAATTAAAAGTGAAACTCTGGGTGATTTTTTTCCTGTTGTCACTATTGTGTTCTCTATGCTATAAAAAGGCAAAAATGGAATAAACAGAATATGATTCCATTTTTTCATCTCAAGGCCAGCTAAGGAAAGAATTTATGTAAAGTGGGCCCACGAAATTCAATGCTTTATTACTGGCTGTGTAACTGTTTTCTAACTGTGCTGAGTGTGCTAATCTTAACTCCTTAACAAGACTATAAGTAGGAGTCGGGTATAATTGAAAGGGATATAGATTAGCAGCTAAGAAGGAGGGCTCTGGAGCTGTTCCAATAAGATCAGCTCAGTGATCCTGAGCAAATTCATTTCCATGTGTCTCAGTCTCCTCAACTGTAAAATGGAGATGATGACAATAGTAGCCATCCTGCAGGATTGTTGCAAAGTCCTTAGAACCATCCATGCCCAGCACATAGTAGACGCTCAATAAAGATCAGTTATCATCATTTTGTATTCTGCAGAGCACCGTTTCAAAAACTGAGATCCAGCCATGTTATAGCACCTTTCAAAAACCTACAGGGATTACTCTTTGTCACTGAGGTAAAGGTCTTATCAGGCCAACTGAGGTGGTCATGCACCTCCCCACCCTATCCCCAAATCCCATCGCATCTCTCACTGTGGTTTAGCTGCTACGATGTCTTCACCCCTACCCTCAACATACCTAGTCATTTGAAATCCTCTTCCATGAGTGTTTTGGTTATGGGCATTGCTCTCTTACTAAAAGGAGACTAAATTGGAACCATTCTCAGAGCCCAAACAGTGGCTGGTACATAATAAATGCTCAGGAAACATTTACTGAATGTATGAATGACATCACATCTATTAATTTTCTTCGGATTTAGATTAAATTCCACCAATTCCATGCATGTAGTCTTTCTAGCTGCCCTGTACAAGATTAGACTTTCTTTCTTCCAGGCTCTAACAGTATATTTCTTGGACAGATTTTATTCACCAATATTCATTAATATTAAACATTAACTAACACTATTTTTAAAAATAATACCTAACATTTAAGCAGTGACTATGATGGGCCAGGTTCTTGGCATATATCAAACTCATTTAATCCTCATTATCCCACGTATAAGATAGGTAGTGTTTTTAGTCCACTTGTTCAAATGAGGAAATTGAGGCACAGAGAAATGAAAGACCTTGTCCAAAGTCACACAGACGGTTAAGTGGTGGGCACCGTTCTTCACCCAGTCCTGACCGTTCTTCCTTCCCACTGTTTCTCTTACAAAGAATCGTCCGATTCACAGCTGTGCAGCTCTTTCCCCTAGTTCCCCTGTCAATGGCTCAAAGTATGCAGAAAAGCAATTTAACTCAGAACGCACAGTACACGTTAACTTGTGGTTCCCTCTGGGCCGTCATGCCCTCTCTAGGACTTCGGCTGGGCTTGCAGGGTAAGCGCCAACACCTTGCATCAAAGTCTTGGCCTTCAGCGGGATCTCAAAGATGAGGATGCGTTGCATTGGAGAGTCACCCACTGTTTTCCGGGGGCTTCAGGACCCAAGCCACATTTCTGGCATTTCTAGATTCTGGTGATCTCGAACTCTCCTTTTAGCCAACGCTGCCCACAAACTCCCTTCTGGGCCTGCTAGCAAGTCAGAGGCGCTCAGTTCAACGAGGGCATCGGCAGGTCGGATAATAAAGTAAGAGCTCACCTTCTCCCCACCCTGGGAAGCAGGACCACAGACTGGTTCAAACACCCTTAACAGCCCAGCACTAGGTTCTGCGCCCCCTTCAGACTCCACCCGAGCCCCTTGCCCTTCTCTCGCCCAAAGCTCCGGATCCGGACCCCGCACTCTACACGAAGAACCGCGCTGGCCCCGCCGCACGCCTCCCTCGCGCTGCTGACTCAACCAAGGGAAGAGAAACCTCTGGGTTTTTTCCGACCGGTCTAAGGGCGCCCGTGTCCCGCCCCGCCCACCATACAAGCCCCCGCCCCGCCTAAAGTTGTCCTTCTGGTTTGCGCCCGCGGGACGCGTCGGCGTGGCTCCCCGGGGTGTGGCTAGAAGGCTTCGGCTACGCCTTCCCGAGGGGCGGCCCCCTCCGCAACCCGGAAAAGCAGACCCCGCGCGGCCGCGGGGCGCCGGGC